TGAACTAAACTTTGTATAAAAAAAAAAAAATATATTTCGGTACCAACTAATATAGGGACCTAGGTACCCATGTTCCAAGTAACCCACTTATTTTTTACTGAAACTAAAAACAACCCTAAAAAATGGAAATAATATTATTTCCCAATTAATATATAATTTTCCTTAACGATTACACTCTGACGGAGTCACTCAGTCCGTGTTTTATACCGATGGTGCTGTAAGCTCTCGATTATGGTCGCCACCCCCCGCATTTGCTTCTTGTACATACTTTCGAGACCACTGATAACTGATAAGCTGCTCGTTTCCGCCGTTTCCGGTCCACGGCCATATAGATAGGTGTGGCAACTCGACGATTTTCGTGTGCCGTTATTGTATACGCATCCGGAGGAATGCTATGTGGCGGCGCTATCTACTTACAAATTATATTTTGTACAATTTTTAACGTCATAGACCGAAAAACTACATTGGATATAGTAACTCATTGAAATATTTATAATTTCTACTATACTTAGTAGTTAGTATGGTAGATATATTAAGATATATTTTAAATAAAATAAATAGATAAATAGATATATTTTGTCATGGATAAGACCACAGAACAATAAAACAGTTCAAAATTCAAAATTCAAAATTGTAGGTATTTATCCATGACTATACATCGTTGTTCAAAGTACGGATGTTATATCGAAAGAAAGTATCGATACTTTTACTTGGTATCTAATCGAATCAAAATATCGATACTAATTTTTTTATAGTATTTTATGTATAGGTCCGTGGAATAGGTACATCATACATGATACATTTATAATTCTATAATAATTATTAATTAATAATATAATATAATAATTCATGTTACATTCAAAAATATAAATATTGTCAGTTATAAAATCATAATAAAAAGGTGCTCTGCTGTACAGTAGGTTACAAGTGGGTCACTGTATAATGATTATAATGGATGGTATTAAATTTGAATTCATGAATATAATATCATTGTATAAGAAAAACGATTCTGAGAGGAGACGGTGTGTCAGTCTAGGTATAACTTATAAGGTATAAGACACATTATATACCTATTATATATATAACTAATATTGGTATTAAAAAAAAAAATTGACCTATAATAAATTCTAAATTAATCCTAATATTAAGTAATCATAACTCAAAATGTATTCATTTTAGTTTCTTAGACATTTAGTTTAGCGCTCAAGATAATCTTTCAAGTTATTTTTCGGAAACCTATGTATTACGAGTTGAAAACGATGGTGCAAAAAGGATTCATTAGTTTTTAAATTATTGCCTTACTAAGTTCAAAATTTTCGCAATACTCATTTTACTATAAGCGTTTGGAACTTCTCTGTTTCACTGAAAATTCTTTTTTTTCAATTTTGTTTTTTAATGTAGGTACCCATATAGTTAAGCATACTGAAAACGTTGGGGAAGTCTAAATTTGGCTGTCAGACTTGTTTTAAACTGATAGGCCTAATTGAAATTTTTAGTACTTTCATATACACCTGGAGTCTGTACTCAGCATGGTCACTCGGCCACTGCATTTGATCAGACAATCAAAATCAAAAACATCCTTGAACTTGTTATGTAAAACCACGTTGGGTGGGTGAAAGAATTATTTTTTAACCATAATTTTTATAAAATGTTGATTTACCTAGGTTTCAAGAAAAAAAAAAATTGAAAATTCTTTATAAGAGCGGTAAAACACCGAAAATCGTGAACTTTGTAAGGCCATACGCCTATACCATAAAAACTAATGATTTCCAACAATTCATTTTTGCACCATAGTTCTTAATTACCTAGTTGTAAATTGTAATACATGATAGGTTCCTGAAAATAAAAATTGAAAAATTCGAGTAGGTGCTAAACAATTATACAGTTAAATATAACAAATATTTTTTTTTGAAAAATTTCATAATTTGAATTCAATGATATAATATCATTGTATAAGAAAAACGATTCTGAGCGAAGACGGTATGTCAGTCTAGGTTTAAGACAAATTATATACAAATCTATGGTAGATATTAAAAAAAAATTGACCTATAATAAATTCCAAATTAATCATATCACATTATCACAATATCCATTAGGTGCTTATAACACGTTATACATCAACATCAATAACAAACCCTGATACTATCATCGATATATAATAATACACTTTAGAAGTTTCAAGTAGGTACCCCGTCAGTGCCGGCGCTAGGTATTGCGGGGCCCTGGTCATAGGTAATAGCCTTTAGGTTCTCAGAGAGTAGTGAAATTTTAGCTTTTTTTTAAATCAGGATTTTAAAAAAAAGTACTGTTTTTATATATAATATAGGTAAATAATTAAATTTAAATAATGCTCTGTCAATTCTTAATGAATCAAGATATTTTAATGAAACAAAAATCAAATTAAAGCTTATTTTTATCTTTGTTATTCACTTGCCCCATATATAATTTTATGTAATACTAATAGCAAAAACAATCCGATTTTGCACTTGCCCCGTGAAAAGGGGCAAGTGTGACGTTTTAAAATTAAAAAAAAAAAAAAATTATTCTTAGGTGAGTGATAATATAATTTTGTTGACTATAAATTCCAATTATGTATATCTAGAGGTGTTACATTATGGAACAATAACAACTTTAAGTTAAAAACAAAAAAAGTATTGTCAAATTCAAAATTAACTTTTCATTTTTGAGTCACACTTACCCCACTTTACCTTACCTACTTGTGTAAACGGAGACCACACATTCGAGTGCGATTCCTCCTGATGAAACCTCGCTCAGCACAGAATTAGTGGCGTAGCGTGAGTTTCAGTTAAACCTTTGAGTGGAAAATCGTAGGCTAATAAATTCATAAGGGCTGGTTATTTTATTAATTTACATTTATTTTAACAACTACATAAAATCATCAATTAAAAATAAATTAATTCATCAAAATGTTTGAATAAAATAATAAATTGTTTAATATCTAAGTACGCGACCGCTGCAGGCAGAATAATGCAATATAATACGACGGTAGACCACGGTATTCGTATTAAGATGATAATTAAAAATCACGGGGCCCTTTAACAAGCGCGGGGCCCTGGACAAATGTCCCATTTGTCCTCCCCTAGCGCCGGCACTGTACCCCGTACCCACGAATAATATTATATAATCACAACAAAATAACTAGGTTTTTTAATATGAAATTTCGTCCAAATTTGAACATAAAATGACTATAAAAATAAACTGTGAAAGTATATTTTTTAGATTTTTCGGTAAGATAATTAACTACTTACGTGGAATCTTGTTTTAAATTTTCAATCCTTAGCTATAAAAACTGAACATTTTATAACTTATTAATTACGATGATTAATAAATTTCGAGATTTTGAAAAATTCTGTCAAAATTCGATGTTTAAATGCTTATAAAAAAAAATTGTGCCTATGTATTTTTAATATTTTTCAACTGATATTGTAACAATATATCAGGAGCCTTGTATTAAATTTTTACACTTTTTGGCCCAACAGATAAAACTTTATTGATATTCAAAGAAAAAAAAACTAAAAAAAATTGAAAGCTGTAAATGTCCCTAAACAGCTCAAAAAGAGTCAAAATATTTTCAAAATTGTATGGTGTATAGAAAATGCTAATTTAAACATTCAGTGAAATTTTCATGTATCTACAGTTGTTCGTTTTTGAATTGCAACAAAATAAAGAAATCGCTACATGAGTAAAATCGAGTGAATATCCAATGTTGTAAAAATTTTTACGAATTCTTAACTCCAAATAATTTGCTAATTTTCGTGATTTTTCCATATTTTGTCAATTTTTGAACTTTAAATGCTTATAAAAAAAAATTGTGACTAAGGATTTTTAATATTTTTCATCTGCCTTTGAAACAATATATTAGGAGCCTTCTATTAAATTTTCAAGCTTTCGCAACCAACAAATAAAATTTTATTGATATTTCTAGAAAAAAAACTAAAAATGAAAATGTCCCTAAACTGTTCAAAATAAATCAAAATATTTTGAAAATGTTATCGTGTATAGAAGATGCAAATATAAACAACCAGTGAAAATTGCATGTACCTACGGTCATTTGTTTTAAAGCTACACCAAAAACCAAATTCAATTTTCTGAAAAATCGATTTTGCGTAAAAATTCCCGTTTTTCCTTAATTTTTCTTTTGTTTTTCTTGGCGCTTTTGAAAAGTACTGGGAATTTTAAATTTTGACCTCCCCAATGCACCAACGATATTCACTTTCCAATCGAACAAGATACTGAAGTCGAAAATCGAAGCATTATTTCAACTACTACACAGATACAAAAAAAATGAAAAAAAAAATAAATAAACACACATCATTGTAAAATCAATACATTCATCGTTCCACTCAGAATCTAAAAGTGCCAGACTTTGGACTTATTTTCCTGTCATAGTATCACAGGGACCTTCTTTAAGGTGTGACAATTATTATATGTATTTAATTATAATTCTTTCATGTTTATTTGAAAATTCCATATAATTTAAATTGTCAATGACAATAGTTAGAATTTAGAAAATAATTAAATCCAATGCTGAGTATGAAATGTAAATGTAAATCACCATGTTAGTTTATAACATTGAATAATAATAGAACAATAAACAATGATTAGGTAACACAATTAATTTAATTGATGAGAACAAATTTTCGATTAACTTAAGTAATGGATAAAAATTACACCATCTTATTGATGAGTTAGCTTGAGGGGACTTGCTGAACATGACCATCATTTCGATGACCAGATCTCCTCAACAACTTATAAATAACAATAACAAATCACTGTCTCCATTCGTATGCTGGTACACATTCCCTAATTGGTCTGGTTGTATCTTCTCATTTGTATCTACAAGTACTATCTTTAATCTAGTAAAGTAAAAAAATAAATTTATTAGTTCATCGCAATTGAAACAAATAATAGTCAAAAAAAAAAATCAAGAAATTACCAAGAGATCATATTTTACGAACTGTGGAAATTCTACTAACTGATTATGAACAATAATCAATTGTCTGTAAAAAAAAAAATACATGTAATAAGATTTTAAATTACAATATTAAAACAATTATACAAAAATTATAAAACAAATTATTTTTTTCATGTCAAAGTTATTCTTCAAGTGATATTGAACAATAAGCATGACGCATACATTAATGAAGTATACCTTTTAACCATGGAAGTATAAAATCAAGATTTACAATGATAAATTTAAACACCATAAGTATTAAGCACACAACATAATAATAACTACTGTATACCAAACAGTGCTTGAATTGGGAAGAAAATAGAAGGGGTATACAAAAATTTAAAAAAATGTGCATATCTGAGTATTTAAAATATTTCTTATTGATTAAATATTCTAAATAGAAAATATAAGAGGGACTCTATTCCGCTTCAATCAAGTACTGATACTGAGGAAATTATTTTAACTATACAACGGTTATCAGTTAGTAAGGTATGTCGAAAGGCCATAGATAGATCAAAGAAATAAATCAATTATTTGTTAATAAAAAAACAATTAACATACAATACAGTATTATGGGAAATTACGACATTGGCCGAAAAACTCAAAAATTCTAGTATAAAATGTGTTTTTTACTATTTCTTACATGATTGTGGGTATTGACAAAATTTCCAATTCAATGACTTCATAGGCGCAACTAGCTTTAAAATTATGGGGGGGGGCTAACCCCTAGTAGCGCCACTGAATGGTGTCCTTTCCTAATTATCGTCTTTCATATTAATATATAATATATATTATTAACATAACTTACTAATCGCCGTAACCGTAATCTTCTCATTCTTTTTACTCTTGCTTGTGTTTGTTTAAATGTATAATTTTTAGCCGCTTCTTGATGCCTGCCAAAATTATAACAAATAAAAAGACATTTTAGAGTATTAGACAGTATCATATCAAAAATTGTCAATCAAGACAATTGTGTCAGCGCACTATTTGTTTTCCCTCCCTGGCCAACATAGACAAAAAGCATTAACGCAGAATTATTTTTTCTATGTTTTTAAGTAATCTTAGAGTAAAATCACCCATAACTAAAAATATAGAGAACAATATTTTTGAGGTAATAACATATCGATTTTATATTTTATTATTATTTGACTTTGTATTCAACTTTCAAAATAAACAAAACAATTTTGTAAATTTAAATTATGTTTAAATTGTTTTGAGACAATATTTAGACAAACCAATATGTCATTCCTTCAAAAATATTATTCTCTATCTTTTTTGTAATAGGTGATTTTACTCAAGATTACTTAAAATCATAGAAAAAATGATTCTGTGTAAATGCGTTATGTTTAATTAAACATACTTTGAAAAATTGTTTACCTAGTGACCAACTATATTATAATTAACCAATAAAAATAAAATTACCTAATTATTTCGCTGTTGTAAATACTCCGAACAGACTCTGTTCTAATTGGATCAAGACATCTTTCACCGAGAGCATCTCTCAATAATGGAACATTCAAGTCAATTACTGGAGGATCATGATTATGAGGAGTTCCAATTGAAATTCGTTTATCTGTCTCATCTTTATTAATTGATGCAGTACCATGACACATCCGGCGACTTGGATTTCTTTGTCGCTCACATATCAATGTTACTTTATTGACAAGTAACTTTTTTTTATAATATTTATATCCAAAATCATCTACATATATTTTTGTATTGCGTTGAATGCCGGGGAGAATTCTGTATATTATTGGTTTATTAGCAATGACTTCATCAGGAACATCTTCATCATCATCCTCTATCTTAATGACTGGTATGGTATAGTTATGGTCAACGAACGGGTATGGAACATCGATTCTTTCTTCAACATGCTGAATGTAATTGTGGTCAATTAAATGCTGATTTTGAACTCTAATATGATTTTGACAATCCATATGTATGCAACTATTTAACTTATAACCTAAACACTAAACAAATTTGAAAAATGATTAAATAAAAACATGAATAGAAAATATAATTATAAATTAGTTGTCAATTTATTGCCAGGAACACTAGATGGATTCAAAGATAAAATGTATTAGTAAGATTAATTATTCTGAATTCTGAACACTGAAGTCAAAATATTGAAATCTTATGACGGAATACTAAACAGTATAAAAAAAAAAATAAAAAAATACAGCAATTAGTAATTACTAATTGAATACCTAACAATATTTGGTTTCATACATAAATTCTGCTAAGTCAAATTTTAAATCTTAAAACTTTAACTTGGATATAATTTAATTTAAATCAATGCAAAACAAGATTTAGTGGTCTACTGTCTAGTATGATTGATTCTTAAAATCTACTATTATCAATTAATTAATATCAATATTTACCAATTATATGTACCTGATGAATTAATTTGAAGAATTATGCTATCATCCTAATAAGTACTTCATTTATGTAATTCATTGTGATATTGTTTTAACATTTCAAATTGGTTACAGCACTTAAGTGCAAATTATTCCTTCAAAACTATCATAACCGATGTGCGATAACTAATCACATCACAACATCTGAAACAAATTTAATATAAGTTAAGTACCTACTAAAAATTAAATAAATATAAAAAATTAACATAATATAATAATATATAAAAGGACTTTCTATGACTGTGGCATATAGAATTGAGGGATTGTTATTAGATAAATAATAGGTGATATGTTCACTATAATTGAGAACTTTTTATGTAATTTAAAATTATACTGTTTAGTATTCATGTCATAGCAAAATACTTTTTGTACATAGTTAACCCTAAATTCTTAATACATAAAATCATAGTGCTGAAGTATAGTATACAAAAACTTTTATAATAAATTCTGAAATGCAGAAAAAAACCAGTTGAATTTAATTTAATAGGTATATTACTTACCATATTATGGTGAATGTGTACTTTTACTTCGAACAAAATTTGTATGAACTGATCAAAATTAAATTAAGTACAGCATATTAGACCAAACAATTAAATTTATTTTAATCGAATTTGTAGGTTTTCATAGCAGCAAAATACAAAAAACAATGCATCTACCTATTACAAACATAAATTAACTATTAGTTGTTTGTGACACAAAATGATATATAAAGAATATAAATAAATATAATATTCTACGAAATACAAATAAATGTCACCTAAAATTATTAAAATGGTTAGTATTTTATACATAAATATATTTAAAACTAGAGTTCTGACAATGATCACATTACTATAATAACTGCTTAAATACTGTTCTGTTCAAAATATATACGGTCTGATGACTGATATATGGTAATCTGATTTTCTCAGAGTTTCATATTTAATATTTTAGTTATTTTACACTTCACAGACTACTTTTGTCGTCTACAACCGAACTTCTGACTACTTGATTGCTCTTATCAGCTATAACTGTTATCAGGGGCAGATCTGAAAGCATGAATCTGAAAGCACGATCCCCAACCACTATCGTATCTATATCCGTCGTGGTTGGCAGTACGAATTAAGTAAATACTAAATCTTAATTACTGGGCGCTATCTACATTCATAGTATAGAATTAGTCCGTGCTTAGTCCGTGGTTTTATCCAAATGACTAATGACTAATGAGGTGTAAACGCATCTAATAAGACATTATGACAACTCCTCATATTGCATTGAAGTCAAATGTCCTTATAGATTCCGAAATGAAGATTTAAAAATTGCCCTTACAAATTCAAATGATTACATTATTAACTTCGATACAAACAAACATGATTTTTAAATTTTTAAATTCTAATCATCACTCATTAGTATTCTGACCAAATTCAAGGTCAAATGCATATTACAAAAATGTCATCTGCAATTCTTATTATATCACAGAACAATAATTATATGGACTATATTATATTTTTCTTCCATGTTATACTGATATTAACCGTTTGTTTTCTAGTTATGGTGATAATAATAATGTGATAAGGTATAACCGTTTTTTTTTGTACCGTCGTCCTTATGGTTACTGGTGATACGTTTTCGGTTATTTTGAAATATCAAGTATCCAAGTCTTCGAAGTTCAAATTATAGATTACAATTAGTTATTAGATATTTAGATTTCAGAAATCAGAGTTTAAAGTCGCTTATAAGTTATAGTTTAGTCACATCAGAACAAAATTCAAATGCACAAAAGTATTGTCAACATTTATTGCGTATTTACTATTTAGAATATTTTAATCTTGTTCAAAAGGTAGTACAATTTTGAATTTATGTGCTTATGATTTATGAACCTAACTTGTAATGATGTAAGTTGTATTTTATAGTTTACAATACAATAATTATTGAAATTTCAATTCTTAGAAACGATTTAAGTCATTATTATTGTTATCATATTAATTTACTTTATATGTTGTTGTTTATAAAATACCTAATGAGAATATAATATAATATGTTATAATAATTGTTACTATAAGTTATATAAATGTCTATATTTCTTTGATTATTGAAGATTTAAACACATTCAAAGAATTGAAAACATAAAATAATGAAGAAGGCATCTTTTGGAAGACGTTCGTCAGCAGCTGGACGAAACACTTTTGGCACATTTGGACGACAGAATTCATTTGATGGCAATGATATAAGGTATTCATTGATTTAATTAATATAACTATTTTACAATACATTTTTGTGAAGCAAATTTATGATAATAATGACTAATTTGTTTAAAAAATAGATTGAGTCGTCGAGAAAGTCGAGGTATGGAAAAAAAATCAATGCTCTTGAAACCTGGATTCTCAGCAAAAAAAAGATCTGCATCATCAGACAATTTATCAGCACATGATCCAAAACAATGGTCATCAACAGTGAAGAAACCAGCCAACCACCAGAGGAATACTTTAGTTCGTTCAACTACAAACATGAATATTACTGGTATAAATTTAGTTGCGTCTACGCCATGTGTTACACCAGGGCTCAATCCAAATTTACCTGGAATAAATTCTAGTTACAAGTAACTATATTATTCACTGAGTTTTAAATTTAAATTAATAAATATGACATACAATATAAATTAATATATTTGTAGGAATCGAAGGTTAAGCTCGGAATCACGTTATAGTAACTATGGTGGTGTAGTTAAGAATAGAAAAGAAGTGCGACCATTGACCGAAAAAGACTTTCAACAAACAGCTATACATAAAGTACTAATTAGATAATTACTAATTAAATATTTAATTTTATTCTGTCTCATAAGATAACTGTACTTATTTTCACATTTTGAATAAGTATTGAACTTTTGGCATTGTAAGTGCTAAAATATAACTTTAAATAAGTGTAAGATAAAGTTTTTTGAGGACGTAATTTATTGTCTCTGTCTTACAAGTACATAACATTGCAATTGAATGCTCAGCAGTTCACTTTTTGTTTTCTTTTAATAGTAGAATACTAGAATGAATTGACCTATTGTCAAATCTAAAGATAAAACAATTTTTCGTGGAGTGTTGGAGGTGTTTTTTTTTTGTTGATAAATTTTTAAGAGAAGCATTTTTAATTTTTTAATATTTTATACACTTACATAGTACTTGTACTGCTTGAAAATTCAAATATTTAAAAATACACCTTGGACAATTGTGTTACCTTTAGGTTTGATAATAGGTAAATTGACTTTAATATTTGATACTAATTAAACTAAACTTGAACTATTAATTATACATTTGATATGTTACATTTGTATGACAGAGATAGCAATTGTGAGTGAGACCCCTTTTTATCGCCTGTTCTCTCATAACACTAAGTAGGTATAGTTAATTTTATTATTATATATATTTATCTATGGACTTATTTTTTATAATTTATTTGGTCACTTACATTATATTATCATTATGTAATATGCGTATGTTATATTTGTTTAACTTCTTTAATTTTTATAAAGTTCTAAAGGTACTATATAAAATATAATTAAAATAAGCTTTATTTAATACTATTTAACTATTTATTTTGTAGATTCAAAACTATTTTTTAACTGCTCCTAACGCAAGTCACATTCTGAACAATGGTAGTATGAAGCCAATGACAACTACTATGTTTACTGATATGTGCGAGTATTTATTACATAACCTAGACCGAAATCAAGTATTAAATAAAAGCAAATACATGGAAGAATTACCCAAAATAATGAAAAAGTATTATTATAAAGGAAAAGTGGATAGATCGTGGCTTATTACTGGTAATGTTTATTATGCTTATAGACTTAATATTTGTTATTAATTTATATTAAAATTTAATATTTTTTAATCATAAGTTTAATAGATACGTTATTCCCATTACTGTAAATGTCCATTAAAACAATAACAGATTGAAACTTATAAATACACTATTTATTCAATGTAATGAATTAATTATTTACCTAATTTACTTCAACGTTAGGTATCTAATTTTAGAAGGAAAAAAATATTTGTACAATTTTTATTTAATTAACACTATACTCCGTTATACGAGGGAGTGCAACCTCCACGCGCCTCAAAATTAATTAGCTCCAAAGTCATGAGGCCAAATTTCCCCCACCATGTGGCTTCCACTCTTTGTATAAAGCAGCTCAAGTAACGCACCACAAATATTAACCGCGACTAACCATTATAATATAATACATCAGTAGGTATAGGAGTTATTTTTATGAAATAAGTATAATTTATTTTATTTATTACTTTTTATTATTAAAACTACCATAAGACATGTAATAATAAACATGATTATACCAGTAACCGCTCTGTTTATTTTAACAACGTGTTTTGATAACGGTACGACGGCGATCGACAAATATTGATGGTAGGCAACATTGATAGGAATGTGGTGGGGATAAGTGAAAATGAACACGTTTTGGTCGTTGCGCAGTCTCACTCTCTCGTGGAACGGAGTATAGCAAGTTATGATTATGTTCTGTGTTTGAGTAATTTTATATTGGTTAAATTATATTGGCTCAGTACATAGTCATAATAGGGACTTCATTAATTATGGCTACAATTTTTAAGTATAAAGTTTAAACCATAATTTAATCATGATTGGTATACCACTCATTTTTTTTGTTGAACCTTTAAATGTAGATACATACTAATGATTTATTTTTATTATATTTATATCTGTATAGTAAATGCTAGCCATTCCTTTCCACAAGTAGTTGGCTTACTTCTTTGGTTAGTAGAATTATGTGAAACTCAAAATCGGTTCAATGTAATGGATACATTGTATCCAACAATCCTTGATCCGGATGAGTCTGAAGACGAAGATTACGAACAAACAGTGGAATTTAAGGTACTTACTACGATCTTATATTAAGTTTAAAGAGTTAACTTAATATTTAAAATTATTTAAAAATGGAATAAATGTAAGTATATAACTTAAATTGTTTAATATTATTTAAATACTTAGATAATTCTAGTTTTATATAAATATTTATTGCTTATTTTATATATTACAAAAATACATTTGTAATTAGCTTTTATTTAATAAATACAAAACATGTTTATAGATGTACTTACCATTTTTATTAAATTCATATCAAGTTGAGAGTAGAGGATCTAGTAAACCAACAGATCAAGAATTCCTGAAGAAACAAGAAGAGCTCTTGCTGGACAATTATAGTTTGTCAATGTTATTTTATCTTATTTTGTTGTAATTGTAATATTATATTATTTATTATTTTATTCAGAAAAGACACTTGGTATTGATGAGGAAGCATTGATTAAATTAGAGGAAGAAGTTAATAATTATAAAGAGGAGCTAGATTTACTAAATGACCTTACTGAAGAACAAAAATTGGAGGTATATTTAAATAAACAACATTAATACTATGAAAATAATAATTCAGTTACCTACTTTATAGTACTGTAGAAAAAAAAAACTGATAAAACCTCTTCATTCTATTAAATAGAAAATTAAAAGACTTGCTAGTGAGGCTTAAATTTCTATTAAATAGAAAATTAAAAGACTTGCTAGCAAGGCTTAAATTTAAATTAAATATATAAATATATTATTTTTGTGTTTCCGGATATTTAAACGTTATACAATTTTAATGTTTATCATTGTTGTACTTTCAAACGTTATTTGATTTTTTCTGTTTATTGTTTTTATTTTTTTAAACAGTACCTATTTTAATTTTTTTTGTTTTCGGTTTTCGTTTTAATTTTTTTTTTTATTTATGTTATTATTTTTGATATAGATAGGTAATAACCACACTTTGGTTCAAAAACTATCAATTTAGTAGAATTTGTTGTTGAGGATAGGTTATTTTCCTTCTGCCTAGGGTTTTTAGTAAGCATGTAGCTATGTGGCTATGTGGCAAGATAGTGTTAGTCTAGGTGTCAAATATTGCTTAAATATTATGGCATGAATGAAAGATGAAATAATAGATTTGTAAGTTTAGGTAACTCAAATTTGCTAGACTAGGAAAGTAAAGGAAAATAAATATTAAATTATAAGCTTCCTAAACAAAATTACAAATTGTGATCTCATCAAATTTTTTTTAAATTTACAATTTTATTATATTTTCATTGCGAACCTTTTTTCAAATTAACTCAAAAGTAAAATTAGTGAATTAACCTTAGGTCCTTAAAAAAATTAATAATTGGAGAATATTTAAATTATAAAATATATATTGATTAATTATTAAGGTACTGCAGCAGTGGCAGTAAAATTATTTTGTCTTGACAGTGGTAGTAAATTGTGTCCGGATTCATTTTACTTGCACCGCTGCAGCGTGTGGCAACCTTTATGTTATATAGATATAAAAAATTTAAATTATATGATTTTGGAGAACATTTTTAACTTTGTGTGTTTGTGAGCATGATAAGTTATGGATAAGATGGATAATGTATATTATTGGTATTAGGGATAAATAAATTAGTCAAATGTAAATGTATTATTATTGACATTTTAAATTTTAGTAAAATATAGCCTAAAATCATAAATTGAGAATTTGACAAATTACCGTTTGAAAAATAAGAAAACAGTTTCTTAGAAACTGTTTCTATGAGTAAATTTGAGTGAAGAGATTATTATAAAAAGTAAAGGTATTTAAAAATTAAAGTGACAAAAAGTAGGTTACATTGATATTAGATTTATAAACTTAACGTTTTAACATATTTATACCACAGAATAGATAATTATACCTTCTACAACGTGTTATGGTTATTGTTATTTTTTCTATCTGTATTAACTTAAGCTGTATTTGTGAAATTATATTAATTTATTTTAAATGTCCAAGGAATATGTAATAATTTGAATATGTTTGTTTTTAGGAAATAAAAGCAATGAAAGCTGCATTACAAAAAGATATTGTGAACTCAAAAAAATATATCAAAGATTTACAAACTTGTCATGGAGAAGTACAGGAATATATTTTAAAGAAAAAAGATGAACGTATTTTTCAAGGTATTAAATTCAATCCTATTAACCTATTTATTTATGATACTAAGTATAGTTGCAACACATTTAATAAAAATTATTTTTAACATAATTGTTGTAATTCATAATGTTGTATTTACCTAACAAATTATCTTATAGCCTAAACATATACATTCAAATTGATTTGTAATTCAATTTAATGTTTGGTTTGATTATTCTTTTGAGAATTCTAAAGTTTGACTATAAAAAGTTAGTGTATTAATAATAAAATAATTACAAGTTATTATTATTGATACACTTATAATATATTTATATACTATGTCTCATATAAGAGTAACCTCCGTCAATGGACTTTGGTGCACGACAACAGTAATGGATGTGACTAATATACACCAAGTGCCACGCTCTTGGAAGTTTCACCTTATTATTTCAACAAAGGCATATCTCACATTTTGCTAAGATGAACACGGTAAAAGTTGTGGCTGATCGTCTGAAATGAAAGTTGCCAACGAAAACCAATTTAATTGAGAGGTCTAACCTGACCAAACCAGACAATAATTGGTAGTCACATACGATTATTATTATATGAGTCAGAGTGTAGTATTCTTTTCTATGTTTACCATGACAAATTTAGATTTGTATGATAACTTATGACAGTTGTAGACCAATAAGCTATAACCTTTTTATTTTTTTTATATTTATATTATTATTTGAAATCTTGTTTAGAAAAAGATATAGAAAACTTACAAAGGGAATTGAGTGCAGTCAACAGTTGCATTAATGGTCAACAGATTACTCAAGATGATAAAAAAAATATTGAAGAAGATATAATTAGTCTGAAACAAGACATACACTATGAAACAAATTGTTTAGAAGAATACTCAAATATTGTGTACTCTGAAGATTTAAATGTTGTTGATGTTAGATTAAAAGTTAGTATAAAATAATAAACTTTCCTTTATTTAAATTAATATCCCTTTCCCAAAAAGTATTGCCTATATTATAATAGGTTGTATTTAGCTACTGATTGGTATTACATTGTGTTTTAATAATTGTTGATTGCAACTACTTTATTTTACTCAGAATGTATAATTAAACACAATATATTTTGTTCACTTTTAAATACTTATTTTTGTGAACATATTATGTTATATTTATGTTTTATCAATATTTATATTTTCTATTAATTGGTTTATATTTTATCATATATGGAATACGGTGTAGTAACAACTAAGAAGTAATGACTGTGTAATTACCTTGATCATAAACTTTTAACTTTGTATTGTTTAGCTGGACAAATTATTCGTACAGTACAATAAACTGTGTGCAGAAAATATGGTTGTATTACCTGAACTTGAAAACGCAATAGCAGATAAGAATGTACTTGCTTTGCACATAAGAGAATCTTTGAAAGAAGTTGATGAATTACTGAAAAGTTTAAAAAACAAAAGTGTTGAAAAACTGAAAGAAGTTGAACACAAAATGGCATCTATACGAATAGAACTAGATTCAGTAAGTTATGCACTTTAATACAAATAAGTATACTGTTAAAAAAATTTTACTAGATCTATGGGCTATGAAACATTGTGATTTTAGGCAGAGCTGGAGTATAACAAATTGAAGAAAATCGCTGAAAAATTAGATCCTGAACGTGATGCTGATAAAAAACGTTTGTTAGAAATTACTGATCGTCAATTTGAGGTAATTATTATTTTAATGTTCTTATGCGGTATATTCGTGTCTAAACCTTCATTGGCAGGAAGGCAAAACTTAAATATTTTACAATCATATAAATTCTTCTAGTCTATAGTCTGTTCAAAATAAGAACAGTAGTCGGCGGCGACGGTCAGACGTATGGTCAGACGCCGTCCCCACTACAGCGACGCGTTAGGGCGTTGCCGCGGAACAAAGACACGCCCATATGCAGAACTCGGCCGCCGACTACTGTCCTTATTTTGAACAGTATATAGGTTAGGTACTTAGGTATAACGACTAATACGCTCAATTAAAAGTAAGAAATTCTTAGTACTTGTCAAAATAATTGATCTATTTATAGACATTTTATAATATTGACCCTTTTCAGTTTTCTTTTCAATTTACATTGATAAAAAAATTTTCTTGTTCAAAAAGTTTACAAATGTAATAAACCATTTTTCTTAATTGTTGTTTTTATAGTTATTTAAAAATATAATTCCTCCTTTTGTATTATACCCCATACTCTTATTGTGCCTTATTATGTACAGATTGTGTTTTTTATTAATAAAGAAAAAAAAAATTTTAAAATATTCAAAATACATAGGGCCAGTTTTACCATCTCTGAATAAAGTTAACCGGAGTTTAATCGGCCGAATTTGCCAGGTTAAATATCTGTTATCAGCTGATTAAGCTTAATCGTAGTTTAACCATAGACGGTACAACTGGCCCATACAGTAGTAACTCAACTATCTGAAATAATTTGGAAACGTGAAAGTTCCAATATTGACTACTGAGTAAGAATTATAATACTGATAAAAAGCTATTTGCAAGTTACCTACTTATAAAAATGAATTATTCCAAAACATCATGAGTTGCAAAAAACTGTAATACCATAGGATAATTTAATGTGAAACAAACAGGTTTAGTCAATTTTTAACACAATATTTTGTCCGCAAAGAATTTTTAGATAATTGATGAATATTCCATTAAAAAATACTTATGTGAGTCATCGTCATATTTAAAAGATCCAATAATTAGCTGAATATAGAATTGTTTATAAGGCACAACACGCTCAATTTATTTAATTCGGATTTTCTATAGAAAGTCGTTATCTACAACTCCTACCTTTCAATGCTTATTACAGTGCCTCGTTGATACTACTATAAGAATAATAGTTATAAAAGATCAAATTGAATTTAATAACAATAAATTACCACTGTTGGGGAAATGCTTATATTACCTTCTCCATAAAATCATACTCGATATTATACATTGAATACTTTGAAGATGCCATGGCTTCAGTACGTTGTCTAAAGTTCCTCGAGTAATTTATTAAAATGACAACCATCCCTGATCGGAAAAAAATTAAGGAAGTTGCTGGAATACAATTGGCAAACAAATTTAACCTGAGCTAAGCTTGATCACCTAGTACTCCTATTTAATAGATATATTTTATGTATGCAATTATACATGTATAGAAGAACCACATACTTTTGAATGAAAATAATTTAGATGATATCTGTTAGTCATAATTACTTTTAAATTTATATTGAATATTGAATAACTCAATATAATTGGTCCAATCACATTTGAACTATTCAACCTTGTGTAGATAATTTGAAACAGTATTAGGTTTATTTGATTGTTTGAAAAATTATTTGGTTATGTATAATAATATTTTAATTATTTGGCTGTGTCAGTTTTTTGGTAGTGTACATACTACATTAATTCTGATACTCCATTTAAAATTATACATATTTATTAATTTTTTTAATTAAATTTATTACATTATTATATCCAATGGTTATTTTAGGAAAAACAAAAGCACGAAAATAAGTTGTATGAGATTCAAGCTGAAATGAAAAGTATTAATCTCGATAATACCAATGTTAAAATAAAAACAGAAGAAAAAAATAATTTATGTCAGCAGTAAGTAAAGTGGTTTGATTGTTTAAAATGTCTAACTATATTATGTTTATAATAAATAATAATAAAATTTAACTTATTTTATATATTTTTTTTCAGGATTAGTGAAATGGAGGAGGAAAAGAATTACATATTTACAAGAGCCTTTAACTCATTGAAAAAACATGCAGAACTAATTGAGGAAACAAAAGATTTTGTTAAGGTATACGCAATACGGTATCTACTATTTATTAAGAATTCAGGTGGTTTCACTAACCTAATTATCAATGAACTCTGCAATATTTTTCTTATTGTATTATTATTTTTAGTATACAAATTAAAATAATAATAATATTATTTTTTATATGCAAAATCTATTTGTTGGACACCACTAGGTACTTTCCTATTTAAAATGTTGTAAAGACTTCGTTAAATTAATGTTTTTTCAGTCAGTTCAATATATTTTCTATAATTTTCCAATTGGTACCTGTGATTAATTAACCCTCTCTAACTGTTACAACAATCAATGTTCAGTACTCAATCTAAGTGGGTCTGCATTAAACTTGATTTTTTTACCGTCAAAATATTGTAGCTACATTATAGTTACATTATTGTTAGATTAAAGTTTTAGTGGAAGGAAGAATTCATAGACTGATGGTTTTAATATAATTTCTGTAAACTAAGTCTTTACGACATTTTAAATACGCAAGTATTGATGTCCAACAAATAGTTTTAGTAAACAAAATATAATATTATTATCATTGTTAGGTATATCTTTTTTTTTTTTTGATTAGGGTTAAGGTTAGTAGTTGAACCTTAACCCTAATAGGCCCAGGTATCGAACCAGCGACGTTGTGCGTCGCAACGCTGCTTTCGTTCACTTGGCCACTCCGTCCCCTTGTTATATCTTTGTTTTTTTAATTAAATGATTTTTGAAAGTTGTTGTTTTCACAAGCTGAAATATTATAATTAAAAAAGTGTATATAAACCTATAGTAAAGAATAACAAATTTAACAAACTTGCCAAGTGTTCAGATAATCATGTAATCAATTTTTTAATAAATGGAACCACCTTTTATGAATATTTTTATTAAATATATTAATATTGTGCTATTTTATTGTATGATCAATTTACAGACACTCAGTGACCAGCTTTTACAAAATATGCAGTCTATTAAAAGCAACTATATCCAAAAATAAAATTCATAATTTTTATGCCATAGAATACCTATGTAAATTTATATAGGTTGAATAATTATACTTATATGATTTAATTTAAGTTTATTTTTATATTTTTTAATGATATTATACTACATAACAAGTAATATTTTAATGTTTTGAATTACAATAAATATTTTAATAATGAGTTTATTATTTGAGTATTTAAAACATTCAATTGTTGGTTAAACGAGTAAAATAAAATTCAAAACTTTGTTTACTCATATCTATCAATTACTTCATTTTGGATGGCTGTATAATGGTCAGTGGTGCAAGGGGCGTCATTTCAGGTTTTTTTTTCGGGTTTTAGCTTTCAAGCAGGCCATATAAAAATAGATGTACATACGTATATGTACATTATCCTGTTTTGAATTATTTCCATACATTATGGACCGAATTAATTCGGAGTCATTGCATCAAAATAAATAGTAAATATAAATAACGAAACTAAAATATAATAAATAATTAATTACCTTAACAGTGAAAACCAATAATAATTGATGCATAAAAAGCTAGAAGAAGAATTAATGCAGCAGCAAATAAAAAAAGGACTTAATATCTACATTAATAAATTATCGTTCATTTTGGAAAAAGCAAAGCTCTAGAAAAAAAAATATTTTAAATGTAAATAAAGAGATATCATCGATTTTTTAGTTTAGCAAATATCTCTACAGTTTCTTCTATACTAATATTGTTAACTTCTTCTTTTTCAATATTAAGTACCATCAGATTATTTAGCCTTTAATCACCTATGGTAGTGCTTAAATATGACTTATATATAACTATGAAAAAAACCTTTCATTTGATGCTATGTAATTGGTAAAGTTTTTATGTAATTTAAAGTTGTAATCATGATTGACAGTATACTAAATACCAATTTCGATAAATGCCAATATAAAAATTAAAGACTAAATTGCAATTTAAATTTTATCATATTAATAATTGTGTATTTGTGGCTCGTGCATTATTTTATGCTTCAGCAAGCCAATTGAAACTACTTTAAGAGTAAGGGGTACTACCGCACAAATGACGCCCCTGCAGTGGTGTATTGTTTGTTTTACTTATTATGAATTCAAAACTTTGAGAGCAACATTTTATAGAAGTCTTTTATTATGTCTGAATACTGTACCCTTGTACCATTGTATAAGAAAAACGATTCTGAGCGAAAACGGTCAGTCAGCCTATGATATTACTAAGTATATTTGATGATATTATTGTGAATAAAGTAATTTATATATTTACCTATTTATGTGGAACCTTGTTTAAAATTTTCAATCCTTAGCTATAAAAGTCGAACATTTTATAAATTTTTAACTACAAAATTATTATTACATTTTAAATTCGATAAATTTTGTCAAAATTCGAACTTTAAATGCTTATAAAAAAAAACTGTTCCTATGTATTTTTAATAATTTTTCAACTGCTATTGTAACAATATATCAGGAGCCTTGCATTAAATGTTCACTTTTTTTTACCCAACAAATAACATTTTATTAAAGAAAAAAAAAACTAAAATAAATGGAAACTGAAAAAGTCCGTAAACAGCTCAAAATAAGTCAAAATATTTTGAAAATGTTATAGTATATAGAAAATTAAAATATAAATAACCAGTGAAAATTTCATGTACCTATACGTTCATTTGTTTTAGAGTTACACCAAAAACCAAAATCAATTTTTTGGAAAACCGATTTTGCGTAAAAATTCCCGTTTTTCCTTAATTTTCATGTTGTTTTTCCCGGCGCTCTTGAAAATTATTGGGAAATTTAAAATTTTCAATTTTGGTGCAACTCTAAAAGAAATGAACGTATATACATGAAATTTTCACTGGTTGTTTATATTTGCATTTTCTATACACGATAACATTTTCAAAATATTTTGATTTATTTTGAACTGTTTAGGTACATTTTTATTTTCCATCTTTTTTAGCTTTTTTTCTAAAAATATCAATAAAATTTTATTTGTTTGTATATTGTTTCAAAGGCAGATGAAAAATATTAAAAATCCTTAGTCACAATTTTTTTTTATAAGCATTTAAAGTTCGAAAATTGACAAAATTTGAAAAATCACGAAAATTAGCAAATTATTTTGAGTTAAGAATTCGTAAAAATTTTTCTTTTTAAATCTAAGATTTGAAAATGTAATACAAGATTCCTTATAAAATTATCTACCTTTGTTAAAAAAAAAAATGTCTATATGAAAGTCAAATTAAATTTTTATGAGCGTTCGAAATTCGTAATATTTAAGTATAAACGAACAATTTCAAAATGTTTTAACTTAATGGATTTTTTTAACCCGTTAGTGGTCGCGATGTGAGCGCGGCGCTCACCTTGTTAGTATTTTGAGAGCCATTTGTTTATTTATTACTTGATTCATCTGATACTATTTATACCTTCGATCGACACATATTTAAGTATACTTTTGCAAATATAAAAATTGTATAAATAATTCTTGATTAGATATCGACATGCAATGTTGTTAATATCCATAAATTCAGCGTTTCACTCACTCAATAGGTCAACCAAATACTTTTTCGTAAACTCAGACCTATTTTTAAGTAGCACCCAACATTTATATGTGTACTGTATAATAATCAGAAAAATATTCCAGACCACTAAGGCGAAGATGAATGATAATGATTATCTTATTATATAATTATGTATAAAAAATTATAAATTAATTTTTAGTGGTTAACAATTTATAATCGAGAAAAATTGTAAGAACATTTTTTGTAAAAGATTAAACTATAAATAATTCGTTGTTGGTTTCAATATTTTATGTTCATTATGTAATAAATAATGATGAAAAACAACATGGTGAGCGCAGCGCTCACTCAATACCAATAGCGGGACTTTACATAGCGATACCAACGACGGGTTAAATCAACTGAGAAAAGCTAAGTTATTTCAATTGTAAATTAAACTATTTAAGTTCATAAGTTGATTAGAAAATAAACTAACTAGTTAAGTTAAAAAGTTAAAAAAATTAACTTTTTAACTGAACTTTAACTTTACAACTAGTTAAAGCCCACCTTTGGTTTTTCGGTGATTATTCCTCGATGGTAGGTCGGACAAGGATCAAAACCACTTGTTGGCACTCAGCGATGGCCGCACTATCACCGTGCCAAGTTAGGTTCAGATCGGTTAATCCGTTGTAAAGAAGTATGCCGTTTAGTAAACGGCTATCCCGCGTATAAACATAGGCGCACATTGGGTGTGAATTTAGGGGGGGGGGCTGGAATAATTTATGGTTCACAGATCCGTGGGGGGCTTTGCCCCCCACACCCCCCTAAATCCTAATATTTCTGCATTGCATTAGATTTAATTTGTATAGTGTATACAATAATATCTAAAGTGCAATGTATCAAATAGTCTGTATGATTGTACAGAAGACGCTAGGTACACCCACATGTGTTGTCTTCGTATTACAAACGTAGGTACAACATAGGCAAAACTGTTTTGCACGGGTATAAAAAACATTCAGGCTGTACTCTAAGCTAAGAAACTAAATGTTCACACTATAAAAATGAGAAAATTTACTGTGTAACTTTGTTTTTATATTTCATAAAATTTGAAAACAATATATTAGGAGCCTTCTATTACATTTTTAAGCTTTTATATACCCAACAAATAAAATTTTATTGATACTTATAGAAAAAAAAACTAAAAAAAAAGGAAACAAAAAATGTCCATAAAAACCTCAAAATATTTAGAAAATCTTATCATACATAGAAAATGGAAATATAAATAACCAGTACCTAAGATAATATAATTTTCTATAATGATATGATATAATATGATTGCTACATACTGTTTAATGTTTTGACAAAAACTAAAACACTGAACCATGCATTCACACAATACTGTTTTAATCGTGAATTCGTAAATAGTTGTCAATATTTGTAATAAAAAGAAAAATTCCGAACCAATAAACCACGATAGTTTATAAATGATTGGTGAAATACCTACGGAAATAAACTGAGGGTGCTAGTTTGAAGCTTGGGCCGGGTGCTAAGCACCCCCAAGCACCCCCCTATGTGCGCCTATGCGTATAAGAGAAAAATGAAAAAAGGTGGGCAAGTGGGTGTCCCTCTGCTGTACAGTAGGTAACAAGTGGGTCACTGTATAATGGATGATATTAAATTTGAATTCAACGATATAATATCATTGTATAAGAAAAACGATTCTGAGCGGAGACGGTATGTCGGTCTATGTATAAGATATATTATATATATATATCTATGGGATAAAACAAAAAATTGACCTTTAATAGGTACCTACCTATAATAAATTCCAAATTAATCATATCACAATATCCATTAGGTACTTATAACGCGTTATACATCAACAAACACCGTGATACAAGTAGAAGTTTCAAGTACCCACGAATAATATTATTCAATCACAACAAAATAACTAAAATAGTTATTCTAGGTTTTTTAATATGTAATTTCGTCCAAATTTGAATTTAAAATGTCTGTAAAAAATAACTGTGTCCATATATTTTTTAGATTTTTTGGTTACAGTATGAACTATTTATGAGAACCTTTGTTTTAAATTTGCAATCCTTAGCTATAAAAACTGAACATTTTATAATTTATTAATTACAATGATTGATAATTTTCGAGATTTTGATAAATTTTGTAAAAATTTGATCTTTAAATGCTTATAAAAAAAAACTGTGCCTATGTATTTTTAATATTTTTCAACTGCTATTGTAACAATATATCAGGAGCCTTGTATTAAATGTTTACACTTTTTGGCCCAACAGATAAAACTTTATTGATATTTATAGAAAAAAAAACTAAAAAAAATTGAAAGCTGTAAATGTCCATAAACAACTCAAAAAAAGTCAAAATATTTTCAAAATTGTATGGTGTATAGAAAATGCTAAATTAAACATTCAGTGAAATTTTCATGTATCTACAGTTGTTCGTTTTTGAATTGCAACAAAATAAGGAAATCGCTACATGAGTAATCGAGTGA